GGTGATAGAGATAGTGTAGAAAGGGGCTCAGAGGGAAAGAGAGTGAAAGGGAATAGAAGTCACCATACATCCATTAGAAGGAGTGCACTAATCAGCTGCTTAAACCCCACTCCCCAAACAAAGGACATATAAACCCTTTTGTAAGATAAGACCCGGCTCAGTCTGCCCTGACCTGTTCTTAGCTGGTTATGAAACTCTAATAAACTTCACACTCTTTCTCTTGCTCTCACTTGTTATTGGTGTCTGTCTTGTATTTTCAAGTCAAAACTTTCTAGTTCTTACTTAAAGAGGCCCCTGGATCTCTGTTGAAAACCATCCCCTTGACACTATCACATCTCCTATTCAATACTGTATTGAAAGTCTTAGTGATAGCAATGAGAGAAGGAAATAAGAGATATCCAAACTGGCAAAGAGAAGGTATAATTATCTCTATATACAGCTGATATTTACTATACTTAGAAAACCCAAAAGATTCAGCAAGAAAACTGGTGGATATAGTTGACCAATTCAACACAGTGGCAGTATACAAGATCAACAACAACAAAATTGGATTTCTCTACAGTGACAAAGAGAATACAGAACTGGAGATAAGAAAAACAATATCCATCACAATAGCTAATCACAAGATTAAATACTTGGGAGTAAATCTAACCAGAAGCTCAAAGGATCTATTCAAAGAAAATGACAAAATTTACTATAAGAAACAAAAAGAGACCTGAAGAAATGGAAGAATATACCTTGCTCTTGGATAGGAAGACTCAATATTGTGAAAATGGCAATACTACCAAAGGCAACTTACTTGTTCAATGCAATCCCAGCATAAATACCAATTCCATTCTTAAGTGAGATGGAAAAGGCAATTTCCAATTTTATTTGGAATGGAGAGAAACCTGAAATAATACCTTAATTCCTTAAAAAGAGAAACAAGGTAGGAGGTATGTCACTCCCTGATTTCAAATCTTACTTCACTGCCTCAGTGGTCAAGACAGAGTGGTACTGGTATAACGACAGACAAATAAAATGGAATTGAGAACCAAGAAATCAGTCCATCTACCTATGGTCACTTGACTTTTGACAAGGAAATTAAATCAGTTAAGCGGGGAAATTACAGCCTTTTTAACAAATGGTGTTGGCAAAATTGATACACTATCTGCAGAAAACTCAAGAGCCACACCTCAGTCCATACACAAAAAGCAACTCAAAGTGGATCCAGAATTTAGGACTAAAACCAACTTCATTAGAGAAAAGCTTAGAAGAACTCTAGAAGCCCCAGGCATGAAATTTTCAGCAAGCATCCTGAAAAACCTACAACCAGGAGAAAATAAAATAGATGAATGGGACCTTCTAAGAATCAAACCCCCATGCACATCCAAAAATTTCTCCAACAGGGTAAAAAGGAAAGCCAAAGACTGGGAAAAATAATATTTGGTAATGATATACCTGATAAGGGGCTTATGTCTAGAATTTATAAAATACTTGATCACCACCACAAGATAAAGGTAAACAATTTAATTGAAAAATGGGCACAGGAAATGAATAAACACTTCACCAAAGACATTCAGATGGCAAACACATGGAGAAATGTTCAAAATTCCTACATCTAAGGGAGATGCAAATCAAAATATCATATAGCAAAATTCAACAGAGCAACAAACAACTAATGCTGATGAGGTTGTGGAGAAATTGGAACCCTTATTCATTGTTGGTAGGAGTGTAAAATGGTGCAACCACTATGGAAGGCAGTGGGATGCTTTCTCAAAAAGTTGGAAATAGTAATACCAGTTGACCCAGCAATTCCACTACTGAGAATATGCCTTAAAGAAACCAGAACTGTCATCCAAGCAGATATATGCACACCCGTGTTCATTGCTGCTTTGTTCATAATAGCAAAGACTTGGAAACAATCCAAGTGCCCATCAACAAACGAATGGATAGAGAAGCTGTGGTATATTCACACAATGGAATACTATGCAGCATTGAAAAACAAGGAACTCATGAAATATTATAAAAAAATTAGTTACCCTGGAGGACATTATGCTGAGTGAAATACCTTAGTCAAAAAAGGAAAAAATTTACTGCATAATGTCATTGTTATAAAACAGGATTGACATCGGGGTTGGGGAGAAACAGGAAAGGGGATAAATAATGTATACTTCATTGAAACAGATGAAGGAGAGAACTGTTTAAAAGAAATATGTGATTAGGTATAATTTGCATGGCAAGGGTCCAGAATAAGAGCTGCATAGTAAAGTGGACTGGGGGAGGGAATTGTATAACAACATTTTTTTTTTTTCTTTTCAAAGAGAAAAGAGAACTGGGGTGGTGGGCAGGGAGGAAAATGTGCAACAATGAATGAATGGAAACCCAAGTTTTCTGTAAAGTTTATTAAAATCTCAATTATTTTTTTAAGGCACTTATTAAAAAAAAAAAAAAGAAGCAATGTCCCAGGAATTGATGCAATACCAACTGAGATTTTGTTTGTTTGTTGTGTTAAAATCTCAATTTTATTTTTAAAAAAAGACCTTGGACTTTTTGGAAATCGAGAGAATGTAGTTATGTAAATTACAAAAATATTATGTTTCTTTAGGAGTGAAAAAAATTACTTTTGAGCATTTGTCAAAGATTTTAATATGTGTGCTATTCATCACTTAAGATTTTTTACCAATACTAAAGGAATGATTTTCTCTTCACCGGAATTTTTTCACCTTTAATTCTTGTGCTTGCCTAAATGCTTATTGAATGATTATAGTAAAACAGTGAATTTAAATCCCAATTTTTTTTTAAATTTTTTTTTTATTTTATTATTTTTGTGTGCATGTACCGTCAAATCAGATCTGACTGGTACAGGAGGAGATTGCCCCTCCTTACCCGGCAGAGCATCTGGTGGATTCGAACCATGCACTTCTGGGATTGTAGTTGCAGCTTCTTGCCACTAGGCCACCAGATCTCCCCTTAAATCCTAATTTTATAATTAAAAAATGATTCATTGTATGTCCAACTACTGATGTATTACTACTATATTAATATTAAACAGCTAAATTAATTAAAAGGAAAGGTCTTCAGCATGTAATTATTCCTTTATAAATAGACTAATGACCATATTAGCAGTGAATACTGTTTTTAAAAGTTAATGTATAAAAGCAAATAGAAGCAAAACTCCCAATTCTGGTTGGTCTTTGTCTTTTCTAAAAAGTGAGGTACAAATAAAAAGAAATAAAACTAATATTCTAGACTATATACCCATATGCGAAAACACAAAACCTATACATTCTCAATAATAGAGTGAACTTTATTGAGTAAATATTGCACTGTTTAATTATAATTATACATGTAGAAAAAAATAATGTGAAAGACACCAATAATCTTCTAAATATTTCTTATTCTTTGTTGTAATATTATCATTTTCTTGAAAATGAGGTTTTAATCTTACTGATCATGTCCTTGAAGGTTATTTTTACTTGATGATTTCTTAGAGTATAGATGAATGGGTTCAAGAGAGGGGCAACTGAAGTATTCAGCACTGCTACACCCTTATTGAAAGTGGCTGCATCTTTAACAGAAGGATTAATATACATAAAGATACAACTTCCATAAGAAAGTGAGACTACAATCATGTGAGAAGAACAAGTAGAAAAAGCTTTTTTCCTTTGCTGAACAGAAGGGATTCTGAGAATTGTTCTGATAATAAATGTATAGGAAAGAATCACTAACACTAATGTGAAAATCAATGTCACTCCAGCAAGGATAAATTCAATCATTTCTATGAAATGTGTATCTGAACAAGACAAATGCAGCAATACGGTATAGTCACAGCAATAATGATTGATGATGTTGGATGCACAGAAGGACAGCTGGAGAGTCATTATATGTGGCACAATGACAACTAAAAACCCAGAAAACCAAGAACAGAGGACAAGTTGAATGCACAGTCTTCTGCTCATTATAGATGTGTAATGTAAAGGTTTACAAATGGCAACGTAACGATCATAGGACATGGATGCTAGGAGGTAAAATTCAGTGGCTCCCAAAAGGATGGCAAAAAAATACTGAATGAAGCAACCAGCAAAGGAAATAGTCTTGTCTCCTGTTCCAATATTGATAAGCATTTTGGGAACAAACACAGAGGTAAAGGAAATTTCCAAAAAGGAAAAATTCCGGAGGAAAAAATACATAGGGCTCTGAAGTCTAAGATCTAGCAAGGTTAGAATGATGATGGTCAAATTCCCCATAATACTTAAGACATAAGTTAGTAGCAGAAAAAGAAAAAGGATAGGTTGAAGCTGGACATCATCTGTCAATCCAAGAAGAATGAACTCTATCACTGGTGTGTGGTTGTTCATCACCGACATCACATGGATAGAGAATGATTACTGAAAAAAAGGAAATTTGAAATTAAAGTTTCTATATATTTTTAAATATAAAGATTAAAAAGTTAACATAAAGTAAGATTTTTTTTTATGATGATAGAGTTCCCAGATTAGGTTTTCATTCATTCATTGATAAACATTTTCCTCCCTACCACTTCCCCAATTCACTTTCCCGCCCCAATTCACTTTTAATACTTGTACTGTTCCATGTTGCTGATTAACCTAAAATCTTTTTTAGCTTGTTTTGATAACATTCTATATTTGTATAACAAGCCATAAAATATACTTTTAAAAAAAACACCAGTAACACAATACTTATTATTTACTTTGTTTCTAATTTTTATTTTGGTGGCCTAGTGGTAAAAAGCTGAGCTGTAATCCCAAAGACACATTGTTCTATTCCACCAGCTGCTGTGGGAAGGGGGGAGATGGGGAATTTCTCCTGTGATTTACTGTTTCTTATAACCTGAAAGTTCAGCTATGATTTAGTTGTGAATCAACAGCACACAACAACCACAACATGCTTCAAAGGGACATTATCAATTGATTTTTATAAGTTGTACCATGATTTATCCATTTTGCTACTTGTTTATATTCCCTTCTTAGTTTTTATGATAGGTTGTGTATAGGTCTATTTGTTTTGAAAAAAATAGACTTATTAGAGACTTTAAAAGTTAACCCTTTTACCCTTCATTTACCATTCATCAAAGTAAAGATTACCCTAGTTATGAGATATAGAAAAATCATTTACTTCTTTTTTTGCTACATTTTTTACATAGCTTAAATGTAGAACCTGAAGATCAATTGATGCTTAACAAAATGTTATTAGAAATCATGTTATTGTGCTTTCTTGTTGCAAATAGAAACTATCCACCAGGTTTTTTCCTTTCTCTCTCAATCCTATGAGTAATCATTGATTCTCCTCTTTTATAAATATTGGATATAGAATAATATTATTATAAAATTCAGTAAATTATTCTTTAGTAATTATGAAAATATAAACCTTATGTGTCCAACTTTAAGATAAACTGTCTATAAGACACCTTTATGTATGTTATTTTTTATGTATGTTCTTATTCAACTCATAGTGACTCTATGGACAACACAGGTCTGAACTCGGTGCTATCGTGCTCCACCCTTATCATTGCTGACACAGTCACTGTGTCAATTGGTCTTGCTAAGGGCCTCTCCTTAGGCAAGCGTAATTCATAGACTTTGTAAAAAATTTAAAGAAAATTTATCTTTTATTCTCCAAATTCCTAACCCTATTTTGTTAACTGTTAGTTTTCATTTAAATTCCCAATCAAGCTTATGCATATAATTCTTTATGATTTTCTTTTAACATTTTCTATCATTAGGTAGTGAGATATATAACTACAAAATAGGAATCTTGCAAAAGCTTTATTGATTTATGAGACTTTGGTTGCCAAAGAATTTAAAATTTTTCATGTGGGGAAGAAATTGGAAGTGAGATGATAAACTGTCTTGATACGGATGTGCAGTTGGTTTTATAAGTAGCATTGCACCTTGTGCAATGCTTTTTCCTCCCTCTTGACTTTGTATCAAGGTGTGAAATACTTGGTCCTTTTGTCACATTTATCTAATTTTTGTTATTCTATGATCACATCTAGTGCAAATTAATGGCCCAGAGCAAATGTGTTAAATAAAATAAAGAATTATCAGAATTAAAAACAGCTTGTTTGAGAAATGTGGATCAATTATTATGTTTAATATACAGAATGACTCTCTGGTTGGTTACTCAGTTAGATATGAACAAACACAGTGCCTTTAGCTCCAGGAAGATATTTTTAATGCACAAGCTAAAATTGTTTAGGGATTATTTTTATCCCTCCTTATAATTTGTCTTTGATTAAAAAATGTATACATTTTTTGGCTGATATATCATGCATCTGTCTACAAGAGCTGAAACTTCATTACTGTGCCTGTAATTATACTGTAGATTAACCATATATAAAATGGTCTTTTAAACAAACTAATAGTAGCAATGGACTCCAATCACTATGTCTAATGAAACTCAGAACAACTGCATTCTGTTAAGTAAGAGACCTCAAATTCTATGTCTACATAAATATTCTTTTGGAAGCAGGAGTAGCATCCACTTCCTAAACAACATGCCTCTGGAAACTCTATGAACTTTGATAAATGATGAGAGTTATTGAAAGGCTTTAGGCCTTTTGTTCATAGGGTCATTATGAGTCGTGCTCAACTTGACGGCAATCAACAACAACAAACAACTACAAAATGTTTTACTTTCCATGTTGTTGTTGTTGTTATGTGCCGTCGAGTCGCCTGCGACTCATAGCGACCCTATGTACAACAGCCCTAAACTCCGCTCTGTCCTGTGCCAATCGCACTGTCTCTGACACTCCCATCCCAATTATCCCAGTCACTGAATCAATCCACCTCATAGAGGGCCTTCCTCTCCTGCGCCGTCCCTCCACCCTCCCAAGCATGATGTCCCTCTCCAAGGACCGGTCTCTCCTCACTACATGTCCAAAGTAAGTTAGACGGAGCCTCAGAATCCTTGCCTCTAAGGAGCCACCCGGTTTAACCCTCTCCAGGACAAATCTATTTGTTTTCCTAGCAGTCCATGGTATTCTCAGTACTCTTCTCCAGCACCACAGCTCAAAGGCATCGGTTCTCCTTCTATCCTCCTTGGTCATTGTCCAACTCTCTGATGCATAACAGGTGATTGCGATTACTTTCCATACAAAACATAAAAAGTTATAAACTCAACATGTTTCACTTCATATATTGATAAAGTTCAGATAATAATATGTAATATTGTTGTTGTTGATTGCCATCGAGTCTAGCATGACTCATAGTGACCCTATAAACAAAAAGCCTGAAGCATTTCTATAACTATGAACATTTATCAAAGTTCATAGACTTTCCTGAGGCATATTGTTTAGGAAGTGGATGCCACTCCTGCTTCCAATAAATTATCAATACTCACACATCTTATTAAACACATTTTCAAAATTAAAATAAAAAAATATTTGTATGATGAAAATCTCAGCATATGCTAAGATAGACTAATTGTCTTATTAAAATAATATCTTAGAAAATATCAGGAATCATTATAGCATGAACATTATAATCATGAACATGAGTCATTATAACATGAAAATTGTCTTAGGAAATATCAGGAATTATTATAACATGAACCATTATGCTTTGCAACTAGAATTGTACTCTATTTTGAAAACTACTGTGAAGACTCATCATAAGAATCAACAATAAAGGATTTAAAAGCAATAAACAATAACCTATTTGATTATACAGGGTTTTTTAATGTGAACAAATTTATTAATAAACAATTTCACTTTTGAGTTAATATTATAACCTACATATTACCATGATAGAGAAGAGATTGAGGTTGTTAATAGTTGTAGTTTGACTGGCTCCACAGTCAACACTTGACAACAGTAGTCAGGAAATCAAAAGATGAATTGCAGTGGGAAAATCTGCTGTCAGGGACCTCTCTAGAGTACTGAAATGCAACAATGTCAGCTTAGAGACTAAGGTGCTCTTGATCCAGGACATGGTCTTTGCAATTACTTGCTATGCATCAGAGAGCTGGACAGTGACTAAGGATGATAGAAGAACTGTTGTCTTTGAGTTGTAGTGCTAGAGAAGAGTCCTGAACATACCATGGACCACCAAGAAAACAATTAAGTCTGTTTTGGAGAGGGTAAAACTAGATTTCTCTTTGGAGGCTAGGATTTTAAAGCTCTATCTCACATACTTTAGGCATGTGGCCAGGAGGGACCATTCCTTAGAGAAGGGCAATATGCTAAGAAGGGTGGAGGGGCTGCAAATGAAAGGAAGACACTGGATGAGATGGATTGATACAGTTAGGGCAATGGGGGTAAGTGTGTTGAAGTCAGTGAGACTTGATCAGGACAAGGACAGGCTTCAGAGCTCTTAAACACTGAATTGCTATGAGCTGCAGGTGACTTCATGGCACATAACCATGACAACATATGTTAATTTATATTGTGACTAAGGGAGCTCAGGTGGCCTAGTGGTAAAAATTTGCCCTGCACTTCTAATTTGTAAGCAGTTCTAATCCACTAGCTGCTCTAACAGAGAAGGATGGGCAATTCCTCTCTAGCGATTAACTGACTCTGATAACCCAGATATGGGTAAGTTCCAAATCTTTGGTTCAAAACAACAGTATCCATTCCTAAATATATTACAAGTTTTCTCTCCTTAAAATTTTACTACCTACTATTCACTTTTGCAAAGACCTTTGTTAGTGCTTGTTCAGTTAACAGAAAATAAAAAAATAGAGGAATTTCACTTTCATGAAAAAAAGTAATGGTGACTAGTGTTCATTTTTCAGAGTCATTACAGAGGAAGGGCATCTGTATTGAGAATTGGCATCACCAAAATCCTTTCCCAAGAACTATGTACAACATGTCAGCATAAAGTCACTGTAGGACTGACTGAACTGATATATGAACACGATATTTTGTGTTTTCTCATGTTTTACATACCATTAGTTTCTTTTTTAAAATTTTATTTTAAATTGATTTTAATGAAAGTTTACAGACATTTTGGATTTCCATTCATTCATTGTTGCACTTTCTCCCTGACCACCCTTCCCCGCCTCCAATTAGCTTTTCTCTTTGAGAAGTAAAAGAAAAAAATTCTTTCATACTTATTCAATCCCTCCCCTCAAGTCCACTATACTATGCTACCTTTGTTCTGGACCTCTATCATAATAATAACAAACTAATCATATATCCCTTTAAAACAGTTCTCTCCCTCATCTGATTCAATGCCGTATTCTTTCCCCCTCTTTCTTAATCTCCCTCCAACCCCTATGTCACACCTCTTTTTTTTAACTTTTTAAAAATTAATTTTAATAAACATTTACAGAGATTTTGGATTTCCATTCATTCATTGTCGCACTTTTCTCCCTGCCCACCCCTCCCCATTAGTTT